GGACAGAGCGCCTGCGACGGCTGGAGCGCGCCGCGTGCGAGGGGTCGGTGGCGCGTTCGCTCGACACGCCGGTCAAAGTCGCGGTCCCACAGGTCGTTGATCGTGCAGCCGGCGCCGCGCATGGCCACCGCGCCCGCCGCAAACAGACTGCACAGCAGCGGGTCTGGCGGCGTGCCGGCCGGCGCCGCGAGCGCTATCGACCAAAGGCAGGGCCAGAGCAACAGCCACGTCCCGATCGGGCGATCCCAGCGCGCAAGCTCGCCGTACGGGACCAGCCACGCTGGCATGCGGGCAGACAGCCACATATCAGAGCGAATGTCTGTGAAGCCGCCGCCATCGAGACCGCCGCCACCGCCACCGCTAACGCCGCCGCCGCTTCCGCCGCCGCTTCCGCCGCCGGCAGCGTATCCGTGCCGCAGGGTAAGCTGCGCCGGGCGGAGGCTGCGGAGCCACACGCGGCTCACAGGACGTGCCGCTCGCAACATCGTTGGGTGCATGTGCGTGAATTCACAGACCTCTCGGGGTTCTTTTTAGGTGTATTCGGGGTTCTCGTATCCTTTGGTCGCGTTGGGTAGCGGAGGGCGCCTGGGTCTAAATTTAGTGCGTGTGAATGAATTTTAGTGATAGTTTAGTGCTTCTATTTAGTGTGTGTTCGAGTGCGTATATAGCGCGACTTTAGCGCGACTTTAGCGCAAATTTAGTACATATTTAGCACATATTTAGCACGTATTTAGCACGTATTTAGCGTGGTCTCTACTCGCCAGCTATAGGGTAGGGCGGAGAAGAAAAAGATCGGGTCGCGAAAAAATGTTGCTCGCGTCCTGCCTCGCCACTGGCCTGCTCGTCGGCATCGACCTTGGCACCACCAACTCGGCCATAGCGCTGTTGCGAGGCGGCGAGCCGTCGCTGCTCCCGAACGCGCGCGGCGAGCCGCTGACACCTTCCACCGTCGCCTTCACCGGCGACGGCACCGTGCTGGTGGGCGCGGCCGCCGACCTTCAGGCCAGCCAGAACGTGCGCAACACGGTGGTGGCGGCCAAGCGCTTCATTGGGCGGACCGTGCGCCAGTGCAAGGCCGAGATTGCACGTGCGCAGTATACGGTGGTCGGCGACGAGGAGGGCGCCGCCGTGTTTCGGCTCCCTGCGGTGGGCGATCTGAGTCCGGAGGAGGCCGGCGCGTGCGTGCTGGCCGAGCTGCTCGGGGCGCTCGACGTCCCGGCGAGCGAGATCTGCCGCGCAGTCGTGACCGTGCCCGCCTACTTCGACGCGCCTCAGAGGCAGGCGACGCTCGCAGCGGCCCGGCTCGCCGGGCTCGGCTCGGTCTCGCTGCTCGCGGAGCCGGTCGCCGCATCGCTCGCCTACGGCCTCGGCGGGGCGGTCGGCAAGGTGCTCGTCCTCGACCTCGGCGCCGGAACCTACGACGCGTCTGTGCGCCGGAGCCTTCTAGGAGCCTTCTAGGAGCCCTCTAGGCGCCGGAACCTACGACGTGTCTGTGCTGCGGCTCGGCGACGAGGGCGCCGTCGAGGTGCGCCACACGCCCTGGAGCCTTCTAGGAGCCTTCTAGGAGCCTTCTAGGCCGTCGAGGTGCGCCACACGCCCTGGGCCGGGCCTCACCGCCGCCCATCCGCGCCGCACCGCCGCCGCTCTGGCCGCTGCACACGCCTGACAGCACGCCCCTGGCCTCGCTTCGGCGGCCTCGCCCGAGGCGCTCGCGACTTCGGGGGACCCGCTCCTCGGCCTAACCCCCACCCTGTCCCTCCCCCTCACCCTCACCCTGTCCCTAACCCTAACCCGAGGTGCTCGCCACCTCGGGGGACCCGCTCCTCGGCCTAACCCCCACCCTGTCCCTCCCCCTCCCCCTCACCCTGTCCCTAACCCTAACCCGAGGTGCTCGCCACCTCGGGGGACCCGCTCCTCGGCCTAACCCCCACCCTGTCCCTCCCCCTCCCCCTCACCCTGTCCCTAACCCTAACCCGAGGTGCTCGCCACCTCGGGGGACCCGCTCCTCGGAGTAACCCTCTTCCTGCT